TCTTTTTATCTCATCTACTTAGTTTAATGGACACTTATTGTAATTAAAACTATTTCCAACTTTAGTGTTATCTGTTTTCATTTTATATTTCTCTTAAGTGATTAGTTTATTTAATTTTGTAGTTATAGAAGGGTATTATTATATCATAAATTTATTTGACAATTTTGAGTATGTTTGAAAAAACACTCAAAGAAGGCAGTAACAATTCTTATTTCATTAAACGTATCACAATCAGTACTAATGATTAGGGCTGTTATTTTTAAGATGATGAAGTCTAGTAATTGTGTAATGATTAATAAACTGTTGCGTATAGCTGTAACCACGTAAAACTTATTCTTTAAAGGTCTAAGTTTTTTTAACGTAATTTTTTATCCGTCTGAGGGATAGCTTGGTCCACCATATTCAAAAAAATATTTACTTTAATAAAATTGAAATAATTTAAATAAAAACTTATCAATTAGTTAGAAGGTATCAGTTGTGGAAACTAACTGGGTATTATATAAAGAATGACTCAATAAATTATCAAAAAACTTCAAGTCTGAATTTCAGAGAAAAATTTAATCAGTCATGTGCCCAACAGATCATGTGCAAACTGTTTACAATTCTGGTGTACATTTATGGAGAGCAGAAATGACGCACACTGTTTAGTTTTTCTTGTGAGGGCTTGTTTTTTTCCTTAATTAGCACAAGTAACATGATTTATTATTTACAGAAGTGTATAGATGTGAATAATAAGATACAGAATGTAAATTACGGAAGTAGTAGGTTATTGCGAGTACGATATTCTTTTTTCTACTCGTCATTTATGCTTTTAATGGTAGAGGTGAAAAGCACTTTTTTCTATCTTATCTACTGTCACTAAAGCGTGTATTGTGCTACAAGTATATTGCTATGTAATAAAAAAAGGTAAATAGATACTTCCTAGTGACAAAAAAAAAAAAATACAAATGAAACTCTAAACTTTTTCTAAAATTATTATTTTTATATTCGTCTATTATACAACTACAAGCGAAACAGACCGTTAGAGAAATTACACAATAATTTAGTACCAAACTTAAACTACATCGAATAGTTAANTTTTTTTTTTTTTTTTCAACTGGAAATTGCACAATGTTTAGTATATGTATTTCAAGAATGAAAAAAAAAAATTTTAATCTTTCATTGTTAAAACTATTTTACTTCTATAATCGAATTCTTGGGTCCGTCGCTGTGAACTTTAACGAGATAAAAATTAAAAATAACAGTTTCAAACGCTGGTTGTTTTGTTACTCTTACGTTGGAATAGTCTACAATACTTTTTTCATCACATTTTTAATCATAACACAATATTTTTACCTTAAAGATTTTTTTAAAATATTTTTGCAGCTTACTTTAGCCACGAATAATACGATATCTCAAGTTTATACTTGCATTTATCATGCACTTACTTTTGTAGCAGTAAATTTTCTCTTGATTCGAACAATTATTAAACGAAAATCGGCCGTCATCGTTTTTACGAAATTGAATTTGTTAAAAGAGTCAATAGGGGAATTAAAAAATAAGCTTAATTACAATACATTGATATTAAAAGACACAAAACATGTCGTTTTCATGTTTTTTAAATATATTTTATATGTTCTCATACTGATTTATTTTGCACTGGGTCATGATTCAAGGATTCCAATATTCTTTTCAATAAGACAAGTTCATCTTATGATAATAGACATGGTAGTGTTGCAATATATACTTTTTAAAATTATGATTAAAATTTTGCTCAAAGTAATTTGTCACCATTTAAAAAACATTTATGTTGCACCAACTAGTCTTACACATGTCAATTCATTTACTTGTGTCAGTGAACAAGAAAGATTGCAGGTTGTATTCAAACTACGCGAAATGTACATTGCATTGGTTAAAATAACAGAAGATATATCAAGTTTTTACTCATCGCCAATGTTTGTGTGCATCGCTTTCTATTTTTGGTCCCTTTTACGTTATTGCAACCATTTTATGAATTTGTTTTTTAATAAAAATAATGAAACTTCAACAATGGAATTTGTAATATACTTCATACTCCTTTGTGATGTCTTAAGTATGGTATTACTAATAACTAAATCTGTTGGCTCAGCAATACAACAGGTAATACATTAGTAATTCGTTACGTTCATTTTAAATGCTCAAATTTCATAAAAATCAAATGAATCTCACAGAACAAGCAAATTAACAAGGCGTTGAACAATTGCTTAATGCATAACGACAGTGTTAAAAACACAAAAACAACATATCAAGTAAGGTTGATAGTGTTTAATTGCTTTAGCAGTTATTTAGTTAAACAAAAATTTAATTTTTAGCTGTTACTATTTTCCCATTCATGGACTAGATCAGATATCACGTTGCATCCGTTACATGTTTTCCCATTGGACGAATCGTTGTTTATGTCGGTAAGTGAATTCCATAATTACTCTAAAGTAATATTACACAGTAAATGCATCTAAGAGTGGCACTTATCGTTGTACGACAAATCAAAAACTCTACTTAACTTTTAAGATGATCAGTCTAACTACGTCATATTTGGCTCTATTATATGGATTTGAGAGAAATTATCATTAGGGCCATGTTACGATGATACTTTCATGATTGCTGGCCATGTATCTTCAAGTTTTAAGTAATACAGCACATCATACTATTTAGGATGGTAAACCTATATTTCTAATGTTATTATGCACCAATTAAAAACCATTTTAATATTTCATGATATCTTTACAATTTGGTTTGTAAATATTCTTCATAAATAAAAACGATAATCTACCGCGAGTAACAAGGCTTACATTCCGTCAAATTTACCACTTATTACCTTGCAACATTTATAAATCTGTAAGGAGCTATGCATAAACTGTATGGCTGTATAAGAGGAGTAGGGGGTCGAAATTGTAGGGATCTTCAAAGCAAAATTAAAACTTGTTTCCTGAAGTTGTTGAAACAAATTTCATGTTACTGACAAAACAAAAGCTCAAAATTAAAGGTGTGATTCACTTATACGTTCTTGTAAAAGTAACGATTGAACATCAAAGCTGAAATATTAAAGAAATTTTTAATATTTTGATAACGTAAATAATATTAATTTATGCGTTTTTTTATTAATATTTTTGAGTAAGTCATTCATCATCCCTGATAGCATTTGATGATTTAAAACATTTTTAAAACGTTGCGAAGTCGGAAAAACGTTTTCAAAATGTTGTAAAATTGTTTTGAGAAGTTTTGTTGCTGGTAGAGATAGGATAACCAATATCCCTTCTACTTTGGCCACTCATACAAAATATTAATTTGTTGTTAGTATTAACAGGTGTTATTAAAAATCAGGTGTGTATTAAAAGCTAATACACAAAAATCAATTGTAATGTGGAAAAAAGAAGTTATTGAGAAGCCCTGCAAGAAATTCTGACCATTAACATACCAGGATAAAATGGTGAGCGTCACAAAACATCGTTTAATAGTAAATGAAAAAACAAGGCATGATGTACTGATCAACAAAATCATACTGCGAGACAACTTTTTTACTAAGAAAAGAATAAACTTCGGAAACGTGAATTTCTAATCAAATATAATCTAATTGATTGAGTTTAACTGTTGTATTCTGGTAAGTGAGTGATATGTATACCAACGGTCATAATAGAGTCATCCCAAGTCGTACACACGTCGTGCCACTACCGTGCGCCTACTGCTCCAGCAGTAGTCGAACATAATCTATATGCTTATTTATTGAGAGGTGGTCAAAAGTTGACCAGAATTAGTTAACTAGCGTTTGCTATCAAATTTCTACCATAGAGTGGATAAAGTATTTGAACTAACTGTAATACAATTGTATAAATGTGCGTGCATGTGACGTTCATTCTGCATTTGAATACAAAGCATTTTTATCCCAAATAATGGTCGAGCTAGTTAAAATGAACAGTAAACAGAGTAAATGTCACTATCATCATTATCATCATTATCATCAGTAATTTTATTATTATTATTATTACTACTATTAAAACGAGTAACTTTCAATTGTATGAATAATCAAAGAAAGTGCATTCAAAGCTATCGTGACTCAGGAGAGTTACATTGAATTCAGAGAAAGATGGGTGACATAGAAGGATAGCATAGTCACCAACACGTACTTTGTGTTGCAAAAAATGATCAAAGATGTGTACAAAAGCACTTTTATTGGCTGCATCACAAAGTCATACGAATTACTTTCATTTCATCTGTAATGTTTTCCGTTATTACATGTAATTATCGTATCATAAATTGACGTACGCAGAAAAATGAGTAACTTAAATGTCTAAGAATAGGTAATTACGAGTAAACTACGCGCATTCTATCGTCCTCAACGGGGTTAAAGCGAAAAATACACTTCTTACAAAAGTATTTAAAAAATTATAATGTATTTGGTTTCATAATGATAACAACATATTTAAATTTCAGAAAATCTAAATTGAATTGAACTCAACGGTATGTTGGGTACTTATTGTAATAATCAATAAAAAAAAGTTATACCAAAGTGTACCAAAAAAATCAAGCAATTCTAATAGAGAGTTGATAATCTTGCAGATGTACTAGAGCATTTTTGTACTTAAAATTTTGTAAATAATTAATGGTTTCTAAGAACAATCTGCTGCGGACGTATCGAGAACTTGCTAACATAAGGTATTTTTAGTGTTTTCTTAGTTGGGCTTAAAAGAAAACCCCTAACCACAGCGCTACGGAGGCTTTTTGTTAAGTTGACAAATTTAATGAAATTTCTCTTTTTTCAGTACTTACACGTACATCATTGATTCCATCAAACCTTTCTACAACACAAAAGTTTTAACAGCAATTGATAAAGGTATTTTTTTTAAATAACGTATTGTGCAGTGGACTAACGTTATCTGAGCTTTTTGTCTTAAAAAAAAGTTCGTATGTATGGTGAAAAGTGAGAAACAATTTTGCTACACGATTTTCTACGATAATGTTCACTGTACAAGGCATCATTAACAAAAATGCCTGTTATAATTCTCAGTTGGCAAGATAACAGATATCAATCACACACGGTAATGCTGTCACGCATGCGACATGTATAGCCGCAACACTGTCAATTATTCGTTGTTCGTAAGTTTCTTTTTAGACTATTTTCAATTAGTATTAGGCAGTTATTCTTTGGTATCTATACCGAAATTACTGATAAGGAGCAACCAGATTATTTTAATAAACTTTACGATGATATAAAGAACGAGATGAAGAAGCAAGATTCAGCTGATCAGGTTACATCGTCCCACAACGTTACTAAAGAATTGCAACAATTGTCTATTATATTCAGCACTGATACCAGCACCTCATCTACGAATAATAAGATATGGCCATCGGTAATGGCATTTATGTACTTCACTTTCTCTCAGATATTTTAAATTTTCATAAAATGGCTTTTCTAAAGACCGTCTTTCAGAAAAAAAAAGATGGCACTGAGTTTGTCACGGACACCATAAACGTTACTGTTTTTTTCTATGTCCTCTTTCTTTTTGTTCTTTTGATGTGTTCCACCTGCCAGATATCTTGTAATATATCATGATATTAATGTGCATTAAACTGATTCCATTTCAAAACAACATTTTTATTAAAGCAATATGTTTTATTCTTTAGGTCAGAGGCAGATCTATACTAATTAAGAGTATCACGAAAAATAAGCAAGACGAAGATGACAACGCTTCTTCAGAAACAACCTTGACGTATAACATCCTAGACCAGTGGGATTTCAATAGCATTGAGGCAAGGTTTCTCTCAGACAACGTTTTATGTATTATTATTCCTCCAAAGAACGAGTCAGTATCAAGTATAGACCGTTCAAGAAATTTTAAATTTAAATCAATCCATCATATTCCTAGAAGAAATAAGTATGTAGTAGAGCAATAAATAATAAAGTGATGTTATTCCATTACTTAACTTTTTTTTCATTGACGAACGTAAATGAAGTTATGTTGGAGTTTTCGTTGTTTTAATCGTAAAAATAAGAACCTGCTCTACCTCTTCCTGTGTCTCAATGGTTTTTCTTTTTTTGAAAAAATTCCAAAAGAAATGTGGAGAGAAAATTTGTTACTTATCTGTTCAAGAGTTTGTGAAAGTTGATTATGAATTTGTCAAAACATCAAAAAAAAAGTTTCTCTTTATCTTCTTTACTATAATTTTTAGAATGAAGTAATTCAAATAGGGTTATCATGAAAATAAATTTACTAAACTGTAATGAATAATAATTCTACAAGTAAACCAAAAACGCTTAAAGTAGGAAAATACATTTCTGTTTTAAATGAAAAGTAACTATTTTGTTTGTTGTTTTTATGAGTAAAGGGGTTTTATAAATGCTATCGTAGTAAGTCTGTAAAATTCAATTATTAGTTATCTGCAGGGGATCGAGTCCTCAAAAGTCCTCAAAAATATTATGATTAGTAAAATTATAATATTTAAATAACACAGAGTAGTCAATAAAAGTAAAAATAGAAGTAAGGAATGATAACATTTTTAATGACAAATTGTGCAAATTGAAGAACTTAAAACAGAGAAAAACGACGGGCTATCTTCTTTTTTAGTTGAAGTGTTATTGGTGAAATTATTATATAAAATTTCGAAAACTAGTCTCTTGTAATAATTATTTTCAATTTCAATTTCTAATATTATCAAAATGGAACCTATGCTTGAAATTTTTATAGTGTGACGTAACTACACGAACCTCATTTTCACTATTCTTACCTATGCTCACCAACTTGTTTCTTTTCTGCTCTTTTTATCTCATCTACTTAGTTTAATAGACACTTATTATAATTAAAACTATCTCCTACTTTCATTTAATCTGTTTTTGTTTTACATTTTTCTTAAGTGATTAGTTTATTTAATTATGCGGTAATAAAGGGGTATAATAATACCTTAAATTTATTTAACAGTTTTGAGTATGATTGAAAAAACACAAAGAGTGGCTCAATAAAGTATAAAAAAATGTAGAGTCTTACTAGTCTCTATTTCGTAGAAGAGTTTGAAGTGTCAAGTATTCACCCCAAAACCTAATCCAACAGATCATGTATATACAAACTGTACAAAGTTTTGATATACATAGACGGACAGTAGAAATGACTCATAATGTTTTTCTTTTCTTGCCAGAGCTTATTTGTTTAATATATTTACTCAAACAACAAGATTCATTATTTTATAGTAGGCCTCACAGGTTTAGTAAACAAATTACATAAGTGGTAGGCTATTGTGAGTACGATTTTTTATTTTGTTATTCGTCATTCATGCTTTTACTAACAGAGGTGAGGAGCGCTTTTTAAAACTTTATTTGCTGTCACTAGAGCGTGTAATATGCAATAATTATATTGCTGGGTTATAAAAAACAAATTAATAGACATTTTGTAATGAAATAAATACTTAAAATATGTATAGGACTCTGAAGTTTATTTGAAACTATTTTTTTAATTAGTCTATTTTAGAACTTCAACCGAATTATACCTTTATGAATATTACAGAATAATTAAGTACTAAAGTTTAGCTGTATCAGATAGTTGAATGTTTTTTTTGAAAAAAAAAAAACTGTAAAATTGTACGATGTTTCATAAATTTATATCAAGAATGGAAACAAAAAATTTCAAGCTTTCATTGATAAAACTATTTTACTTTTATAATCGAATTCTTGGGTCCATCGCTGTGAGCTTCAACGAGATAGAAATTAAAAATCATAGTTTCAAACGCTGGTTGCTTTGTTACTCTTACATTGGCATAGCCTACAATACTTTTTTTATTGTATTATTAATCATAATTCAATATTTTTACCTTAAAGACTTTTTAAAAGTATTTTTACAGCTCACTTTAGCCACCAATAATACTATATCTCAAGTTTATACTTGCATTTATCATGCACTTACTTTTGTAGCAGTAAATTTTCTCTTGATTCGAACAATTATTAAACGAAAATCGGCCGTCATCGTTTTTACGAAATTGAATTTGTTAAAAGAGTCAATAGGGGAATTGGAAAATCAACTCAATTACAATACATAGATATTAAAAGACACAAAATATTTCGTTTTCATGTTTTTTAAATATATTTTTTATGCAGTCATGCTGATTGATTTTATACGACATCACAATTCAAAGATTCCAGTATTATTTTCCATAAGACAAGTTTATCTTATGACAATAGAAGTTGTAGTATTGCAATATATACTTTCAAAAAATAGTTAATGTAAATAAAATTTTATCTCAAAGAAGTAGTAGTTATCCAAGAATAAAAAAATTATTATAGTTTTATTATAATCTATCTACATTCACTGATCAGGGTTTTAGAAAACCAATGTTGGACATCATACTTATCTTTTTCATATGTTTCTCGAGCAAATAAATAAGAAACATGCGCAGCCAAAGTAATTTTATTAAAACCAATTATTTAAATTTTAGGGCCTGATCTATAATTGATATATATATATTAACATGAGAATTTTTATGAGAGCCAGGTTTATGTAAAGTGAAGTTGTATATTTATACGAGTTTTGAACTATACTTGTAGGTATTCTTCTTTTAATTGACGAAATAATAATAATAATTATCAAAAATACAATTGTCATCAGTAAAAATATCTACTGATAGTACAAAATGCTATGAAATGTACAATAAAATGATGTAAAAGATTTATATTAATCAATAAAGTCAGTTCTAACATCTTATCTTACTAATAAATAAAGCAGAAGTGCTAAAACCGTTGTAATCGCTAACCGCGAAAACTACTTAACCGATTTCGTTGAAACTTTGCACACTGATTCATGATACATCCTAGATGATTTTAGCATAGTTTTTATCTTAAAAAATTTAATAACAATAGCATTAAATGAGCTCAAAGTTTTGCAAAAATATGCCAGCTTTTCTCTTTAGTTCAGTAAAATCCGCTAGGTAGCGTTGACATCAAATCGAAGCTACCTGCAACATAATTAAATAAGTGTGGTTATAATAGGCTGGAGCGTCTCCGAAGTGTTGTAGTCGAGTGTCGGCAACTCAACGAGCTGCATGGAGAATGCTTATGATAGTCTTACAGCTGGGTATCCCGGTTACGGACGACACTCTTCTCTAAGGGGGAAGGGACCTAGGTGTCTATTTACCCTAAAATTCGATGAGTGCGATAAAAAAAAAAAAAAAAACTAATTCCAACCGATGCCATCTCTGCCACAATACCAGGAGACATATGTAGCCAGAGCACAATCTAGTTTAACTCATCAGAGTTGTGAGGGAGTCCCACCATCCCACCTGGTGCAGTTAGAGAATTTGTGGCTACAAATGTAAGCAAGGGAAAACAGCTCTAAGCTCTGAGGAGAATGGGCAGCCACAACGGCTACCTTCTTGGTCGTCGCGTCCCCAATGCGCTTACCCACATGTTCCCGTCTAACGATGAGCGGTTGGTTATCCGGGGAACGACCCGAGACGAGATATTCTTTGGTCAGCAGCGTACCTTCTTCCATCACAGTCTCCGTACATCGAGACTCCCAGGGTAAAAATCAAGCAACCGTAGCCAGCTCTTCATCATCAGGAATAAGAATAACCTGGAAGATTCACCACTGGCGCTTTTAAACGCCTTTATAAGTATTTACGTTCCCTACTTAACCATCAATTTCATCGGTTCTTTTTAGAGTGTAAACTACCTTGCCAACAAATACATTTTTATTACCATTTCCGGAAGCGATTCGTCGACTAAAAGACTATATTAACTAAAGACGGGCACTATTAAACCAAGTCAGCCATTCACTAACAGACGTCACCTGCGGAGTTGTTCTTCGCAAGGCTGGAAAACCCGGTGACCCTTGACCCTATACTACCCTCTCGACTCTAAGCATTCAACCAGGAATCACTGATCCTCTCCAATGTCTGCGTTGGGCGGACCTATAACAGCTATGTAGGAAAAAAAACTTGAGCCAACGGGACAGCCTTCACTGGACAAGTATCACTAACCAATCTCCTCATCTGAGATCACCAAAACAACTGAATCTGCAAATAAAAAAGGTGCTTTAGACACCAACGTCTTCTACGTTATACCGGGAGACGTGGGGAAAGAGCACTACAACTAGCCCCAAAGCTTCGGACTTTGTAATTTTTCTCCCAATCAGTCTGTGTCTTCAACAGCAAGCCAGAGAAAATCACCCTGAGGTATCCAGGCAGTCAAAATTACTGTTAACTGCAGTCAAGAAAGAGTTAACTTAAAAAGCTCACCGGTCTTTTTTAGGGCCATCGGACGTCGAACTACCTTGCCAACAAATATATTAGAACTTAACAAAGTTGACAGAAAACACACTTTAGGGGTCACACAAATTTTAAGCATGCCAAAAGTCGCAAGAGGGTGAACTGAAAGAAAAACTCCAAATGTATCTAATAAATACAATTTTACTTAGGTGTCAAGAAACTGACGCAGAAAGTGTAACGAGATTGAAACAGCAGCGTCAAAATCGACAACTAAAGAGTCCATTACGTGAGAGATCAGCTTTTCATTGTACCCTTACAGCAATCTCTGAAATCTTTAAAGATCCTACTTCAGATTTTTTAATGAGTAGAAAATGTATTTGTGTTTTTGTGGCAATAAAAATGTAGGGTTTAAGGTCCAGGACTTTGTTGCTCTGGTAATAAAGTTGTGAGATATGAGAAATAGTACATTACGTACAAGTTTGCAAAGGCTTCGATTTACGAACCGAGAGGTTTACGGCACGAGCCGAAGGCGAGGGCCGTAACAAGGTTCGTAAAGAAGCCTTTTTGAACGAGTTTCGTATAATATTTTTCCGCCTGAGAACTTAAAATCAAGCGGCGAAGGTGCTATTTTTTAAATATATTATTTTGAGGTTAGAAGGTGGAAAAAAAATTTTTTTTTAATGTCAATTTTTTGGGGGTTGAAAATCTTAACATCTTTAAAAAATAGCCGTTTTCGTGAATTAAATGGGAGAAACTGTAAATCAACAACTTCTTATAGCCATCGATTATTTTATGGCATAAAGAACGAACGGTACTTTTCAGCATACTAATTTTTTTGAATTTTCACACCTCATTATTTAACCAAATAAACTATATGGATTCCGAAAAAATATGTTTTTAATAAGAAGATTTTTGTTCTGAGATGTATCAGGAATATGTGTAAAATTTTTAACTGGAAATGTTTCACATTACATGTCAACACACTACGGTGTTTTATTTAGTAAGTTTCGGGCGAAGCCGAGACGGGGGGCTGCTAGTTTTTATATAAAACTTTGTGAAAATAAAGAGTTAAAATCAAATACTGCTAATGTGTATACTAAAATTGATATCTGGGTTGTAGCTATAATAACGTAATCGATTGTAATTTAGAAAATGTGTAGATCCATTAAATGAATGACTGTAGTATACTCTAGGTAACTACCTATGGTGTAAAGTGCCTAGGCCATCTCACGGATGTATTTTTCGATAGAGAGGTGAGAGAAGCTGAATAGGAATATGTAATAACTATGTAAATGAAGCAATTTTGTTGATGAGTTTTACGTAATTGTAGGAGGTTGCAAATTGTAGAAACGTTGTTACAGTGAAATTAGTCATCAAAAAATTCAAAACGAGAGCATTTTAAAAAGATAGTTTTTCTACGAAGTCAGAATTTTATGAGCTGTAAGGATCTATTTGAGAACATGAGAAAGAGAGAGAGAGACGAGCAGATCTGACCTCTCTTTTGCTCTTTTATGCTTAAATTGATTCCGTACAGTCAGTGTATTTGATAAGATTTCAGCTTTGTAGATTACTTGTTTTGTAAAAACTTTACTTGTTTTTACTACTCAGATACCAAATTCAACAGTCACAAACATTCATCCCCTTTTCAGCATCCCACAATCACGTAAAATTTGAAAACAAAGTACCTTTTTGTACACTCCAATGAAAAAAAGTCACTGCCCATTTATTAACCTAAAAGCTTCTTAGTGAATGTTTCCTGACAAAGTTTTTTCAATGCTATACTTCGATTGGACGTGTAGTAAATAAGTATGTTATGATGTCTAAGGAAACGAAATCGAAATTTTTTTAGGAAAAATTAAAAGACAAATTCCTGTTACACACGTAGGAAGTAGAAATTCTCAAGAGAAAGATGAAAGTTAGTAGCTTCAACGTTTGCAGGTGTGGTATTACGAAGTTTTTCTAGTTATAATTCAAAGCTACTGGTGTAATCACTTTATTGATAACAGACATTTATTCACACTCAGTGCGCAATCGCAGTGAATATCTCTCAACGAGTCATCGGACAGTAGCTGGTCGTGTAGCTACTTACAAAAACAGAGTATAACTTGTAACTGTCCCAGTTGTGTGAAGCGCCCGAGAAATTACAATGATACGCCCCAAAGGATGGAAGAATCGGCTTATTCTATTCCAGTGGCCAGCCCTCGTTTTTATTCTCACTTTACTATCAGGTAAGCTAGATAAAATTGCATATGAGAATAAGTCAATGCTTCAACTTCTTATTCAACAGCGGCTATAAAATTTCACTTAGTGACGTGTAAGTTAACTAATTATTTTCACCTTTGCTGTCGCTATTTTCTTTGGCGTGATATACTTTTATGCGTGTGATACAGAGAACCGAAGCTTATGTATACATCTGTTCGTGCATATTGCATAATAAGAAATTAAATTCGTTAGTAATAGCTGGCATAAGGGACTTTTTATGATAATAGTAATAGTAAACCCGCTAAACTACATTATTCAATTTCATAAAGTTACGAACTAAATGATTTTAGATCAGACGATATTATTATATGTCTGGTACATAGCGTAAAATAGTTATGACAGTATTTACTAAAATTATTTTCATTTATAGCAATTTAAGAGGTTAAACTAGAAGAGAGAATAGAAAAATAATGCGCAAATCTTGAGCTTTAAATACATGAATATAAGGGCAATACGTATATCAGAGGTCTGGGAGTATCTAAGGCTTTAGAACTTGTTAAGATAATTATAAGTATTTGGCTATTTTAAATGGTAACATAACGCCTGGTTATCCATGTTTGAACAATTAACTGTCTATATACAACCACTAATAATTATTTTTAAATTCTCTAATTTCCGTGGATAGACAGATTTTTTGGGATCAGCCTAATGTATTAAATAGTATTTAATATTTTCGCATTTCACTGTAAGACAATGTATATTTTTTAGAAACTGAATGGAAAATTTACCAATAATGGTTTTCATGAAAACAAAAAAAAAAAAAAAAAGATTTTTAAATCTCATTACCACAAATTTAACGATAAAATTTGTTGCTTCTATAAAAAATGTATCCCTCATGTCTCATTATAATGCGAAATAATAACGTTTTTTCATCTATGTTTCGGTAATTTCTAAAAAAGCTTGAAAAACTTTTGATTTTTCTAGTGAACTCGTAATTTTTTGTACTTTTGTCTAATGACATCTTTAACATTCGTTTGTTGTGCTGCAATGCTTAGATTTTTTAATCACTTTTCAAAAACGGTCATTAGTTGCCCATTCAATGCACACTTTAGAAAATTCTGACGATACATGTATTAAACTAACATTAACCATTTCTTCATATGTAATGCGATACAAATATCTTATTTATTATACAACTTAAGATATTCAAGCATTTTTTTATTTTCCAAAGCATCAACTTGTTTTAAATTAATACACAATACATAAGGAATTTCTAAAATACGCCAGACACCGAGAAAGAATGACAGTATTAAAAACTAAAAAGAACTCTATCATTTGAATCATATTATTTTTTGAGACATTACGTAAATTAAGTCTTATAAGTAACTATCAGTACACCCTGGTCTGCCCTGGTATGTCAAAATTATTGTGTAGTTTGACATTTGAGAAATCAGTTGACCCACTCTTAATAAAGTATAAAAAATATTTTTTCGCCTTCTAACCGTTCTCAGGCGGGAAAATAGTATACGAAACTCGTTCGAAAAGGCTTCTTTATAAACCTCGTTACGGGGAACCTTCGGCTAGTGCGATAAACCTATCAGTTCGTAAATTGAAGCCTTTGCTAACTCGTACTTATTGTATCTGTATATAACTCTAAAAAGCATAAATAATAATGATAAGACACTACTTACGTTCGGGCGTATTAATGTTTAAGATCATTGTCACTCACTTATAAAAATATTATTCCCACATTTGACCCTGTTGACGGTAAAAAATAGAGCTACTAACACATGCTACTAAAATTGTTATTCGCGATGAAATTAATATTTTCTTCACGACGTATAGAGTGCAGTGGATATAGGCCTCAGTTCCATTCCAATTTGATACAGTTGAAGATATACGAAGGAGATGTCCTGGAAATTACATGCAAAAGCACAAATCACTTATATTTTAAGTATCTGGATGAAAATGGAGACATTGTAAGTTGCATGAACAGGTTCAATTTATTTGAGCTCAGAAAAAACACTCAACTTAAAAAAATTACGTATGTTCCATAAAAATTTGAGTAATTTGAGTGTTTCTTTTTATCGATTTTTTGCATGATATCCGATATCACTAAAACGTCAGATCATTCAGACATTTTATATATAACGTTTTACTGTTTTACTGTAAATTAGTTCATAAATATGGGTAACACTAACATTCATATCTAAAACATTAACGACAGCTCTTTATCTAAATAAAATTAAGCCAAAGTGTTCAAATTTACAGATAAACACAAATTTAATAAAGTTAATTAAAGTTTCTTTAAGTTAATTAGATAAATTCCAACAAAGTTAACGTGGAAGTTTAAATGTTTCACACTCACTAATAGGAACGATTGCTTCCAACAAAAAAAATGGTTTATTCACTTACCAATTATAAGCAATTTCCTTAGTCCATAATATAATTTTTTTGATTTTTAAGTTTACATTTTGGTCTTCAAATATTTTTTACTTATTGTATAAAATAATAATAAAGCTTATTTAATCCTACACCCAAATAGCTATAACAAGTATTAAATTCGTGACAACGAATTCCCTACCAAACACAAAAATTAAATTTTTATTTAAACCTCTAACTCATCTGCAGGTAACTGCTGCCAAGAATCAAACTACTTATAATCAATCAGATGGTACTACCACATTCCGAAAAGTGTCCACTACCTTTGGCGATACTAGCTGGTATGGATGCACCCATAAGAACGAGACAATAGTAGAAATTGACTGCAATGATGCCAATATTCATTGGGTTTATGTTTATGTTCAGTGTAAGAACAAAATAATGATAATATTAATACGTAACGATAAAAATGTGAGAAATGTCTAGAAATAACATGCTACATGTTTCTGACACAGCCAACAGAAGTGCATTTGTCAGAATTTCTGACAAATTTTTACAACGTAAAGTACATGTTGGAGATCGGGCTGTTCTGCCGTGCCGTCCAACTTCCCCTAAATTCAATGTGACTCTTATGATGCTTCACGGCCATGTACAACTTTATTTATTCTATTTGGATACTTACAGCTATTTTTAAAGATACACCATAGTTCTATTTAAACCTTACAGGAGTTCAAGCCAGTGGTTAGCAACAGAACAACTTTCGATCCCAAATTTGGTTTTATCATAAAAAACTCAAAGTTTTCGGATATTGGAAGTTATTCTTGTGAAGTAAACCAAGATGGTTTCTCGCAGAAGTTATACTTCAACCTCTCAGTTATCAAGAAAAATCAGAAAAAACCATTAATCGAAGCCTCGATCGGAGCAGATGGTATGAAACACGTTGTTGCTGGCTCGACATTGAACATCAAGTGCAAAGTCGAAATCACAATGGACAATCCTTACAATATTTCTTGGGAGACGCCTTACAATACGGTAAAAGGAGAAATACACTTTCATCACATTAAAGTCACCGGTCAAAAAAAAACTTGCTAGCCGAAAAACATTTTTTTTTGTACTGATAAAAAGACCCTCTAACATAAGGGTTTTTCAAGAACTACTCTTTGATAATAAGATTATGTACAAGAAAATCATAAGAATAATATGCCTCAAAATGTTACTTATTGAGATCTTGTTTTTTTCTAAAGCATCAGAAAAAGGCTTCTGAACGATCTTTATATTCAAGAGTTGAGTAGAATTTGTCCATTACTTGAGCAAATATAGTCCACATCATGATTCTTTTATGAGTGCAATGAATTAATTATAAAAATTTCATGATAGAAACCCGAAAATTGAAAAACATTGTTTACCTACAAATATAACTTGCAAAACATTGATTCACAAAACCTTTATTGACGTTAAAAATTTTTTTTTTAAGTCGTTATACGTTATATAATGTGACGTTGTTTTTAGAGTTTCAGAAAAATTGTGAAATCCGTTGAAGATGATAGGGGACTCCTTAAGTACGTGACATCTCAACTAATCTTAAATAATGTTACTTTCAAAGATCAAGGAAACTATACATGCCAAGTGAAATCTTTGTTGAGTGAACAAGAAAGTACCAATATGTTTATAAAAATATACGGTAAGTTTATTTTAAGATGTGTTATGCCCTGTAATTGACGTGTTACTGTTATTTGTTGGTACAGATCCTAGAAAAAAATACATAAACTTAGAACGTGAAAAAAAGAGCAGAGAAATTGCCGTAGAATATGGTGAACCATTAACTCTTGTAGCTCACGTTGATGCATATCCAAAGCCGACACTTAAATGGTAAAAAAATCTTTTTTGGAAAGAGTTCCTCGTTGTGTTTATACATAAGTTTTCTATAAATTGTAAGTTATATTTTAGGTCAAACTTTTACAACGATGAAATTGTATCAGGAAAGGATTTTGTCGTATCACATAATGCTCTCACTGGCAGTAATCTTACAATCAAAAAAGTGGTATATCGAGACACGTATACTCTTCAAGCAAACAACAGCGCGGGAGTGAAATCCGTGGATTTTAGAGTCAAATTTTATAGTACTTTTAATATTACGATTATAGTTTTTCGTACAAAATCTTTTATCTAGTTTTCCTTTGTAAAACTTCTTCAAAATTTTCAGCTCATGTCAAGCCGTATACAGTTTTGTACGCACCTTATACTTCAACAGCTTTTTACGTTGTTAACAAGAATGCAACGTTCACATGTAAAAGTGACGGCTATCCTCAGCCAAATATTACATGGTTCTATGAACAGTGCCCGACATATAATTCCGATAATGGCTGCAAGAAAATTGAGTTAAAGGTATTGTGACATTGTTATTGAGCTTAGAATTCTTACTAGGAGGCATTCGTAGATTGCATGAGGCGTTACAGGGATAATGCGATTAAGGTTGAATATAAAGTAATCTTATGCAATCAAGAAGGTTTTTTAAAATTTTAAAACCTAATAAAATCAGGCCTCTCGCAAAAGTATACTCAATTTTAACTTTGACTTAACTTTGACTTATAATTTACAGTGTATTTTCCAATCTCAATAATACTATATTAGGAAATTGGCCATGTTGCGAAACCATACTTTAACACACACCACCATCCCACCACCTATCTATACTCACAGAGAGAGAGAGAGAGAGAGAGAGAAAGATAGAGACAGTGGCACAGGCATACTCTCCCATTTATACCATATTCAGCCTTACACTTTCATCACCATCATCTATAGTACCGTATCTTGCAGTTAAAGATTGTTTTAGAATCTAGTTCTATTTTATTTTCATTGCTGCCAAGAACATGCAAGTTTATTCGTTATTAAATACGTTTACCAAATTATAAGTACACGTTAACTAATTAATGAAAGATTTTCCAATATCATATTGGTTCTTGTTAAAGTGATACTATTCTGATAGTTCTATTTAATTAGTTGAGTGCTTTAAAGTATTTATTATCCAATTTCATGTATTTTCAATTCTTGTAATTAAAAATAATTAATTTGTGAAAACAAGTATTTTTGAAGTCACACGTGAGCCCTTTTTAATTTTCTTATTTTACTGATTATTTACCTAATTTTCTTTTATTATCTAGTAAGCTCTCTATACATCTGCTACTTACACGAAATCATAGAGTTTACGAATGAGCCCTAGTGTGTAAGGCCAGAAAAATGACTAAGCTGCGGGTCAACTGTGGACGCGTAACTGTCAGGTGGATTTCGGTTGACTATTTTTGAAATAAATATTTGAGTGTTATGAAAAGAAATAAGTTATCACCGTTATTACACGAGTGTTAGAATCATTGAACACGAGTTGCGTATACAATATTTTTTGTTATAGGTAGTGTGTGGAAAAAAGTTTTCGCTATGCCAACGAAAAACAGCTTTTTAAAAAGGAAGTTATGTAGTAGGAAAAAATCAGCTAGAGGAAAATATTTAAAAAAAGTAAGAAAAACGAAGTAACACAAGCGCTTAAATTTGTAAATAACATTACATCTTACATTTAAAACACAACTTATCCATGGGTTGTCAAAACAAATATTTATATCTAAGATTTTCCATAGGCTTTTATTACAATAAAGTTAATATTTCCATTTTATTTTTATTATACTCATCTTTCTTCAAAGCTTACGAGTTAAAAGTTTTTACTGTGTTTCAGATTTATAAGCACATACTAAATATATAATGTACAAGTATTTTATGTACCCGTAATTATTTCCAACTATATTATAATGCCATTTTTTAAACAAGGTCCAAAATAGCAGGATATGTCACACTCTTTTCCTTAATAGAAGTACGCCAACATTGTTGAGGACAATGTAGCGTCTGTCGTAATATATATTTTCTTTTTCAGAACGCAGAAACTGACTTGCAGTACGAAGACAGAACACATTCAAAAATAACAGTAAACATTACTGCATTTGGGCGAATCAGTTGCACCGCTTGTAGCCGTCACTTCTGCAACTCAGATGAAACAAGCATTCGTATTATCGGTATGTACTATGTGGTTGATAAATATCGTTTTACTTCTTATTTTCTGCTTGATATTGATTTTTAGTTTCACTTTTTTTTTATTAAATGTTATTATTATTATTATTTTTATAATTATTTTTATTCATATTATCATTATTATTATTATTATTATTATTATTATTATTATTATTATTATTATTATTATTATTATTTCTATTATTGAAGTTTTTTTCTTTCATAAAGATGAAGAACTTCTTAATGGACCTGTTGATATTGATAAGCGAACTGACGATGTAGTTGAAGGTGAAACTGTAACTGTGTCTTGCACTATTGTTCATTACTTATTTCCCAAGGTTACATGGACAAAGTTTAATCCCTACGGCACTGATAGTAGGATCTAATAATATTTATCAAATTACTAAAATTTTAAATACCAATTTTTATTTGAGTTGTATCAAATTTTAGAACTAATGAATATTGTATGGAAAAATGACACTTACATTCATCGAGCTGTACTTGAAATAAAAAATGTCTCTATATCAGACCAAGGACACTATTTTTGTGAAGCATGGAATGAGAATGACGAGCCCGAACCATATAAGTTATTTAAATTGGAAGTTAGAGGTAAAGCTATTAATAATACTCATTTTTAAGTATATTTTGCAAAATTATTTTTTTTTACAAGGAGTTACTTGTACTCCAAACTAAAAAAATCTGACTTGTATTAGTATAAGGAAAACGTAGTAGATAAAGTTTTTTGTTTTTACATTTTTTATAACTTGGAATCTGAAAGACACCACATCAGATATACTGGGCATAACTATTAACGTATAAAATAATAATATTCTACAATTATGCTTGTCAATTAGCCTGTACAAAGAAAACCACCTCATTTGTTCCAACTACGAGAGATGATAAAATTTTTTATGAATAGTATTTTCTGATAAAATTTTTTAATACAACTTGTGTAGCTGTTACGTACATTAGATACAAATTTTATTATTCTAAATAAACCGTTTGCTTAGAAAAGTTGTAAGATCAAAGTATAAACGGCGAATTTTAGCTTTCTTTTCGGCTTAGCAAACTGTTGCATAACACTTTTAAAATTTTGTTATCTAGTATTCGCATCTTTACAACATTATTTTTACTTTGACTGATTCTACATCACTTTTAGTACTGTTTATACGCAAACTCCACATCAAATACATCAGTGTCATGTTGTATTATAAGATCATGAAAACGTTAGGGCATTAAGTTGATGAATTTGAATTTTGGTTCACATGTTTTGTCAGTCGAAGGTAAGGGTAATTTATTTTAATTTTGTTAAAATAGAAAAACATAACGGTACAACAGTAAGAGTATCATACATAAAGTATGGTCGACCAAAAAACAACTTAATTTTTCTAGATTTTGATTTCACACCTTCGGAAGGTTACTGATGCATTTAGAAGATTGTAATTTATCACTTGTCTAAAAATTAACTAATGAAATTCTTACAGCAATTTAAATTTAACGAATCAAGCTTACCTAATGTTTCATTTTTTTTCAAATAGTCTTCATTGGTGTATTATGACTTTTTACAAAAATAACAATCTCTTATAAGCACGAAGGCCTTGGCCGTAATAATGCCCTCTACGCCCACAGGTGTCTAAGTATTTTCATAAGCTGTGACAATACAAGGAACTATTTTCTCGCTTTCCACAAAGGAAATTCCGTTTTAGACGCGTAATTATTAAAAACTCGCATTTATGTTGGTTTAATCCCTCGCTACAGTCCACAAGACGCTCTCTATCGTTTTGTACGTGGTCTGTCTTTCTTGCTCTCCTGTGACAGCATAACTTTTTGTAGCTGTTACCAAGCTTATTTATTAGTTTCTTTTCTCACAAGGACCCTCGAGATGTTCAATACAGTTCAATACGATCATTAGATATTTTATTATCATTGATAAAATTTTCATCTAAAGTTCATCGTTAATAATCGAGATAAATGCAATAGGAGCGTTTAAAAAGACGACAGCCCATAAGCCTATGTGTAAAAATCATCTAAATACAAATATTAATTACTCAGCTCCTAGGAACCCTCGTCCCTTAAAATTTTGAAACTGCCATTTCATGACTGTTCATTCGTAGATGAATTTTCATCAATTTCTTACTGTTACTTCTGTAACCGATAGAACTTCCTTAACTTGAAGGAGAAAACAAAGATAGCCTTATATCAGATTTGAGTCAAATGATAATAATCCAAGACATTCGTTAGTTTTTCTTCTTAGGTATAAGTAAAATAATATTAGCCCGCAAAGATAACAGCACTTTGTCCAAACCTTCTCTGGTAGAAGCGTTACTACATAAACTGGCTAGAAACTCGTCAAC